AGAGGACACAAGGTGTGTGTTTATCGATAGATTGTTATAATATCTGTATCTGTGCAGTTCTTTGTCATAAATACAGTTTACAAAAGATCATGAGGGAACAGTCAGTTTCCCGTAAAGTTTTCGCTGCGTTCACCCCTCATCACACCACAGCTGTTTCCTCCAGCAAAAATCTAGCCCTTAACACATATGAACGCTTACTTTATAAAACAGTCATGTTGCTATTTTCATTTGAAGATTTTATATTTAATATAAAACATATTACAGTGCATGTGGCATACCATACAGTCATTCACAGAACTGATTAAAGACAGTGACAGACAGCACTCAGTCAATTCACTCATTTTAACTAAATATCAGAGTGACTGACAGAGATACAGTAGAAACATTGTGTGGTTTTGTATTAAATATTGTTTTGTATTAATGACCCTGATCGTGAAATACATTTATTAGCCTTAGAGTAAGGGAAACACAACTCGGGAAATGAGAACATGAGCATGTGAATGCTATGTATATTTATTTTAAATATTTGTAATGTTCTTTAATGTTATCCATTTTTTTTGTGGCTCTTTTTTTTAAAGTATCAGTTCAGGTACCGTTTAGGCACTGGTACCGTTTTAAAAGTATCGATTTGGCACCGTTATCGTAAAAAACCCAATCGATACCCAACCCTAATGTATGGTCCACCTTTATGTTTAGAAGTATGCTAAGAATAGATACAATCTATGTTCAATAGTTTGTTGAACAAGACCTCGCTCATCTTGAATTGCATCTACAAGACCTGAATAGCTATGAACCGTAATTACCAGTATAAATCAGTGTTGCATGCAGATTAAGGTTAGTCTTTTATAAAAGTTATTCTAGGACTAGACTTGTTCTTATGATGGAAGATATACTGTAAGTGAAGTCTTATTGTTGGGGGATGGGTTGTTTCTTTGACTTTTTCACTAGGGATGCACAGTAAACATGTCAGTTATCAGGCAACATTTAAAAAAAATGTGTTAGCCAATATTGGGTATTTAATGGACTCTTTTCACAGACTGTGATGGCGCGATTCATATATTATCGTAACGTTTAAAAAAATAATTATTATTTTTAAGGATTTAATGTGTATATTTTTGCACTATAGTTTGTGTTATATTACGGTGCCATTAAACAAAAAAAGCTATTAGAAACACCTACGAGGTTGTTTCT